TCGCTATATGAATCTTGATGATGTCCGTTGCTTGTCCCGTATAGTTTTCCGCACCACAAGTTATTTCCTCTTGACCATAAAAGGTATTCTCAACAAGCTCATTAGCATCGAGTAGCTTTGAGTGGCTACTTGTCCCTTTTTAATTCCCCCATCTGGTGATGGAACAAAATTATCTATTCACTTTGTTGGTCCAGCTCCTTCAGCACTCGTTGTTGGCCCTTAAATCGGAGTCGAAGTATCACATTTCCTCCCCACTTATAGAAATTTTGCCCTCGAAATTTGTCCATTGTGATTACCCTAAGCATCGCTTGGGGTAATCTTTTTCACTTCGCGGCTTTTTATTTCCTTTAACTTATACGACATGACCTAAAATCCTTCTCCCCATTCCCTGCAACTTCAATGTTGTTGTACCTTCTTAATCCCTCACATTACCTCGGCTGCACCTTGTACATATATAGGGACGATAACTATCCATTGTTTGTTATATGAGACGTTAATGCTCCCCTTGAACCCCAGGGTTACATATGGCGGCTTATCCTCTAACCCATCAGATGGTAAAATTCCTTTAACGTAACTATCGTCCGAAGTTGACCTCATAGGTCACCTAGGTCCTTGTATCTCCTAACTCTGCATCTCTTACTTTCTTCCTCAATGCCTCGTCTTGTCTCTTAACCATAAGCTGAATGGTCACCGCCTCGTTACTTGCTGCTTAATGTTGGAACCTCATACTACTGTTTCTACTTCCTGTGTGCATTAGAGGCATCCTTTGCGTCTTTCGCTAGCTTGCGATCAACTTTATGAATCCTTTCCATAATTATGACCTTCCATTTTGCGTACTTTCTCACTCCTGATACCTAACTTAACACTTCCTTATCATCGTTTGACTTGGGAGTTCTCGTACGATCTCTTCTATTGTTCTTTGACCTTGCCTGAAATTCCTCGTACAGTTTCCCCATCCAAGAAATTTTCACCCTCATAGGTGGTATTGCTTTCACTTTAGGGTATCCTAGTAGGTTTGCTAAACTCATATCCATCTTACTTCTTTACTCGTGACTCCTCTTACCAATGTTTCTCACTAGTCTATATGTCCCTCGTCCTTGATGTAGTCATCTTGGTGCCCATACTCTCTTCTCACTTATGTACCTTGACTGATAAGGTTTTCCCTTCGACCGTTCTGGACCACCACACTTCTACTTTAAAGTTGACCATTGAGCTTCTCAGTTCTTGATGGGCTTCCTATGGTCCAACTTATTCTCCACTGGCAATCACCTTAACGCCTCCTCGTTGACCTTCGTATTTTTTCGCCGGCTCTTCCTAACTATCTTTCTCCCTGAATTTGTCGTTTTATCAACTACCACCCTTTTCACCATTAGTTTCATTGTATCCTTGTGGTTTCCTCCTTACTTCCACAACTCCTTCATCGATGCTTGGTACTAGCTTTGATCTACTCAGTTTAGTGGCTCCTCGCCATACCTAAGAGCCAACATTTTCACTAGAAACTTTCTCTAGGTAGACTTGCCAGATGACACCCACGACATCTACTCACGATGGTGCTTGACCACGTCCCAACTATCTTCCTTCACGGATTCATTGTCCGGTCGACAACCACCTTTTTTTCTATAACTTCCCATGGTGTTCTTCTTACTTCTTTACTTTTACTGCTACCAAACTACAACTCTTCTGTTGTTGCTTGTACTATATTTGGTCACCAACCTATGTTGAGTATATTCTCGTTGTTGTTTTAGTTCACAACTTCCAATGGTGGCTTGCCCTTGGTAACCTCTAACATAACTCATTCCATGTCTCTTTTGTTGATCGATCTTGTACATAAACTTAGTCTCTTAGGTAGGATTCTTAGTGGCTTAACTAAGCGTGCCTGTTTCTTCCTTAACTAGTTGTCTCCTCTGGAGCCCTCCTACTATGCCGCGCCCACTCAGAGTGGGGCATCTTGGATAAGGTAACTTCTCTTTTTCCTCCTTCTCGGTAATGCTTTCTCTCATCGTACCTCTTTGTGCAGCTTCTTGACCTCGAGTCACCTAAGACTTAACCCATTGACTTCTTGAAATCTCATCAAACTCCCTCTGGCCTTTTTGCTCTCCTTTGGTATTGTTCGCAAACTCTCTTCATTACGACCGTTTAGGCTCTTCCTTGAATTCTCCAACTTTCATTAGAACTCTAATGAACGTTAAAATTGTTTGTCTATACCTGGTTGATTGAATGATTTACTCCTATGGCTGGTTCCGAGACTCCCGCTCTTGCCCCTCTAGTTCCCACTTTAGACATTCCCAATGGATTCCTTGAAATTCCACGATTTTCTGATTCTCCTTGATCATGGTAATTTGCAGGGTCTCTCAACCCCTTCTCATACCTTGTCCTCTAGCTTGCGCTTGACAGATGTATAGCATGCCTGATCTCACCTCAACCTCTACATCATTTATCTCGTTGCTTGTCTTGTTCCTTTTTAAAGGCTTGCTATCAGCCTAACTTCCCAGGGTCATGTTGACTATTTTCTTGTTCCTTTCAAAAGCTTGATACCGGTCTAATTCCCCAGGGTCATGTACCCTCTTCTAGATGACATAGTTTGTCTACAAGGGTTCCTTCATCGTCATATGTAAATGACCATGCCTCCCCTCCTCCTTAACCTTTTGACTTCTTGACGTCCTTTCATACTCCCTGTAACCTACTTATTTCCTCCTTTAGTTCATTTATACTACTCTAGCTTTTCTTGAAGTCTAAGCTTCCCGCTGCTCCTTGTCACGGTGTTGTAATAGCGTTGACCACTAAAACTAGGTTAGGGACTTCTCGTGGTACCTCTTTTTTTCTTGACTCGCCACTGTTTAGGGTCAAGGACCCTGAAATTCTCCCATTATCATAGCTACTGGCATCTGGTGATTGTTCATCTTCCTTTGGAGATTCAAATTTCTCCCCTTTGTTTGTCTTAGCTTATTAGATTATCCACTTGTTTCCTAGTAGTAAAATCCTCGTACTACTCTCTCAACTTCTTCAAAATCCTTGAGGTATTCCCTTTCAATTGGCACCTCTTTGCCGGTGTTTGGGGTTGAAGTCCTCGCACATTTGATTCTACCTCCACAGACCTTTGCAACGTTCCTCCTTCCTTTTCCTCGTATCTTGAGATTCTAATAGAGTTGGCCACATTTCTTGCTTCTTCCCTTTCATAGTGATGATCGCCATACGCCTCAGCCACTTATTTGACGTCCCACGACGTGTTAACTTAACTCGTGTCCTAGCTTATTCTTAAACCAATTGCACCATTGTGCTACCTTCTCGTAGTGTTGTGCTGTAATAGTTATTCACCTTATTATGATTAGAGTAGACTGGAGATCCTATAAACTCTTAAAAGAAGATCCTTGACTCATTTTCCCTTTCCTTTAAAACAAAAGCCTTTAAAACTTAGACCGATATTCCAGTATTCCTTGGAGACCAAGGAACAGAGGAAGACCGGTTCTGATACCAAAATGAAACACCCTAACACGGCCGGGTACTACTTTTACTAAAATGCCATTGATAAATAAAATACTCAAATCTTAAATTGCAACTGGGAAAAATTTTCATAAATAAAATACTGAAAACACACACTTTTACTAGCAAAGCCCTAACATGTGGGCAAATTAAACTCAAACTTTAAATTCTCAATCTGATCTCCAGTCAATACTCATAATCATAAAATGCAAACAACTAGGTAGTCTCTGTCGTTGCTGCTACTGAAAATCTTAACTAGGCACCCTCCATGACGCTTATACTGCTCTCCTCTAGCTGGCTGCCCTCGAACTCGCTGCCCCCTAAATGCTCCTCTAGCTCTTCCTCTAGCTCTTCAAACTGGTGAGTGAGATGGGGTCAGTCTACGCCCTTACGTTTAATATCTTATTAATGCTTGATCACTTTACTGAATTGAGTGGAAGTTGTTTTGTACTTCCACTATTAAAAAGCTTAACTCTTAAAACTGTAAGGGAGTTACTGTTACTCCATTCTTATATCTCAAAGCTTGACTTAAATACTTGACCGACACTGGGATCCCTCACTAGCTAGTCCAGTTGCCAACTCATACGTATGAGAAGCCATCCAGGCTTTCCTTAAACTTAAACTTAGTTAGGGAAGCTTAAACTTAGTTAGGGAAGTCGTAACGATTCATCCCCCTAACATCTTAAACTTATCGTGGTGGCTCTTCACCACAATTCTCAAGGGCATAACTGCTGCCCATCTTAAAAGTCTAAAGAGCATAACTGCTGCTCTGTCTAAAAGATCTCAAGAGCATAACTGTTGCTCTATCTGAAAATCTCAAATGGCAACGGACTGGCGCTAGTGACTAAAAACACTTAAAACGACTTCACCTTCTTGAAGGTGAGTTACTTCTTTAAAAAGAACTTGACTCTTAACTTTAACAATAACTTATACTCGTAAAAATTTCAAAGTAACTTATAACCATTCACTTCAAGCATAGCTCAACAAAATCATCTCAAATAGCACAAAATCATCCCAAACCATAACTCAAGCGAAGCACAAATAATCAATCATACACATAACCAAGCAACGATAACATATTCGCTAAAATACTTAAAATAATAATACTTAAAAGAATACGTAAGGCGTAGAATTTACCCCTTTACACTCACCTTATTAAGTAGTCGATAATCTAGTCTCGTGCGTCCGATCGACTTGCTCTTTGTATCCCTCATGGGTAAATTCCATTCAACCGCCCAACCGTACACCAACTCCTCATTGATTTTTCAAGTCTGCTGACTCGAGTTTGCCTCCACCGCCATCCCTTCTCGTTTTCCCAAAAAATCATGCCCCCTGCCGAATAATTTGCCATCTCCGGAAAACGAAGAGTATAGTTCGTGTCTCTTGATCGTTCGGGTGGATACCCATTTACATGGATTTTTTTTTGGCCATCAACAATATTCATGATAGCTTACTCACACAAGGAAATGTGGAGGAAGTTGAACAAAACATCACTTGTAGTGAAGAACCACTTACCGAAATCAACGACCTCTAATCTTCGTCCATATCATCTTGGAATCAAGTTCATGAGCATAGGGATCCACCACTAGGTAGGACTCTGGAGTGAAGGCAGTCAAACTAGTGCCATAGACTTGATTCTGAAAAGAAGTTGGCCACCCAGGCAAGACTTCACAGTGGCGGTGGGTACTAGAGCCAGCAGCAGTAGTAGTGCAGCCGCCATTATTGTCAAACAATTTAAACTTGCAAGCTTGGAACGAATCTGTGAATCCGAGGCCTGGAGCTCTATACCACACGAAGAAACAAAACATATCAGACCTCTCGTCGTTCATATAATCCCATTTCGGAGACATGGTGGTTTTGGTCTCTACTGCTTGGCGGTGCAAAGGACAAGAAATGCAATGGAGCTTTGGTAGGCTTTAATTAAACCAAGGAGACCAATTTGTTGGGCGGTGATGATGGATGCGTTGATAGGGGAGCTGTTGCTTCTTCTTTTGTGTCGGAGTAGCCTTCTTCGGCCGAGAGCTGCTGCAGCAGCTAACTTGGGGCGGCGGTGAGACACGCGCAAGTGAGGGTTTGGGCGGCGGTTTTGGGGACTCAAAGAGAGGCGAGGGTTTTGATTCCCTTTGCTTGGGACAATTAGAGAGGTCGGTTGGGAGATTTCCTTGGCCGAGGGTTTAATTCCCTTTTTTTAAAAATAATAATAATAGTTATTATCATTATTATTCCTAATATGCGGTTGCAATCCTTAGTACGTAACCGTTTATCCAACCGTTCCCGTATTATGGTTGAACCTGAACCCAAAGGTCGGGGTGTAACAGTAGAGATGAAAAACCAACTAGGAGACGCAAGTAGGACGTAGGAGGAAGTGAGGTGCGGGCGAGTAAGGCGAAAAATGGCCGAAAAACAGACCGGAGAGATGAGCGGAAAAAACTTGCCCCAAATCTCCCCAAAATCGCAGCACAGGCCGGTTTTGACGAGGGGAGAATGGGTATGAAGTTGGTTTTGGGTTTTGCTTGCAGGAAATGGGGGGGTGGGGGGAATGAAAAACCGTCAAAATTTCGCGGTTTTCCGGCGAGAATTCGAATTTTCCAGCGAGATTTAGGCCGTGAAGTGAAGAGTCGCCGTTCACCACCCTTTTATAGGCACAGAACGAAGTTCACGGACGTGTTGCCTAGTTCACGGTCTTAGTGACCGTGAACACTTAAATGCGTCTGTGAACTGGGGTTGGTCGACATGTGGTGAACATGCAGAAGCGCCAAGTTCACGGAACTTCGGCAATCCGTTCGTGAACTTCAATGAAAACAGGGCACTTCTGAGAAAAACATTGACTCAACCTATTCCACCATGCCTCCTAATCGATCACAACACAACCTTAAAACGCAAAACCACAAGACTTGGCACAGGGAAACCACTTGACCACTTGAACTCTTCACTTGACACAAAAACGAAAATAAGGAAAAGAAAACAAACCTCCGTTGGTTTGCCTCCCAACAAGCGCTAAGTTATCGTCATTAGCTTGACGGTTGGGGATCAATCACGTCTTGGAACATGATGCCACCGAGTATGGATCCACCACACTCTCAGGGCGAGGCTTGTAGCATCCCATCTTAAGTTCCATGAGTTGACCCTTTTGGTTGGCCAACTTTGCTTTGGCCTTCTCCTTCCTCCGGGCCAAAGCTTCCTTCATCTTTTGCCTCCAAGCATTCTTCCCCTTTTCCTTGGGCCTACCCTTCTTGACTTCCTGTTCAACATTACCACAAGCAACACAAGTAATGGTGGGGTTTTCCTTTAGAGGCTCTCCTCCACTTTCTTTCACATCATTTGAAACCAACCCCTACACTTCCTCACTTCTAGCCTTAGAGTGAATTTCAAGCTTGATTCTCTCCTCACCATCCCTCAGAATTAAGGTTCCCTCATTAACGTCTATCAAAGCCTTGGCTGGTGGTCAGGAATGGGCGACCGAGTATGAGTGGCATATCCGAGTCCTCACTTATATAGTGAATCAAAAAATCGGTCGAATAGCAAAACTTTCCTACTCGCACCAACATGTCATCCATAATGCCTCTCAGGCTAATGACCGAAGGTCGGCTAAAGTGATGCTAAGCTTAGTGGTCTTAAGTTCACCTACTTCTAACTTTTTGAAAAGCTTGTAGGGCATCACATTAACACTAGCTCCTAGGTCCTCCAAGGCATTGTTTATGTGATGGTTACCAATACATAGTAAAGCTACCTGGGTCGGACCGCTTTTTGGGCAAGCGGTTGAGGAGGAAGGCCGAACACTCCTCGCCAAGAGTCACGTTGGCGAGGCCTTCAAGTTTTGCCTTCTTGGTGAGGAATCCCTTTGAGATACTTAGCATATCTTGGCATTTGAGCCATGGCTTCAAGGAAAGGGATATTTAGGTGGAGGTTGCAGAGCATTTCCATGAAATCTCCACACTCGTTCTCCAACCTCTCCTTTTACATCCACGTGGGGTAAGAAAGAGGCGGCGTGTACTCAACCACCGGGGTGGTGTGAGTGATGCCTTCCTTGCCTCCTTTCTCTCTCTCCTTGAGGGCTTCTTCTCTCCATCCTTCGGATTGGTATATTCCTTCTCAATCACTTCTTTGGTGGCGACTCCCGGAGTCACCTTTACACTTTCCACTTGAATTGCATTCTCCCCGGCATGGTCCTTGGGGTTCGCCACGGTTTGGGAAGGTAGGGCTCCCTTTGGTCTCTCGGTGAGGATGCTGGCAAGATTGCCGATTTGCGCCTCCAAACTTTGGAGGCTCACTTGATGGCTTCGGAGACCCGCCTCCACCGAGGTAAACTTGGTAGTCGCCACATCCATAAATTGCTCTATCTTCTCAAACTTTTGAGCACTCGTGCTCACGAAGGTGTTCACTAGGTCTTCAAGCTGAGATAGCTTGTCGGGTTGTTGTTGTTGTTGAAACCCTTGGCCACCTTGTGCTTGGTACGGTTGTTGGAAGCTTGAGCCTTGGACTAGAGGCCTTTGTTGGATGAAGGTCGGCCGAGGTTGGTAATTTTCCGTGGGGCCTTGAAAACCCGGGGGCCTCAGATTAGTCGGTGATGACCAAGCAAAATCTGGTTGGTTCCTCCATACGGGATTATAAGTATTGCTATACGGGTTGTTATCCCTAGCATTTGCTAAGAAATTGACTTGTTCCTCTGGAGCGGTTGCCTCCTTCATTGCTTGACACTCCGCCATCTCATGGCTAGTGCTCGAGCACCAGTCGCACGACATCACTGGCCTTTTTCCTTGCCTCTTATCTTCAAGCATTACCTCTATCAACTTATCCAACTTCGCCTCAAGCAGAGCGCTCGCTCCCACGCTTCTCACTCCCCTATCATTCCTTCTCCTCCCACTTCTAGTCAATCCCCAATCGTACCCCCTAAGGGCCATGTCTTCAAGTATCTCGGTTACTCAGGGCGGAGCCATATTCATCAATTTCCCTTGACACAAGGAGTCAATGATAATTTTGTCTTCTTGGATTATACCTTCGTAGAAGGTTTCAGTCCGAAACTGTTCCTCAAACCCGTGGTGAGGGCACTGAAGAAAATAATCGGAGTACCTCTCCCAAGCGTCCCTTAAGGTCTTGTCCTCTTCTTGCTCGAAATGGATAATCTTCTTTCTCCACTCCGTTGTCTTCAAAGGTGAGCAGTAGCGAGTCATGAACTTGTTGAGTAGGTCATCCCATGAGGTGATTGACCGAAGTTGGCGATGGTTTAGCCACCAGAGTGCTTTTCCCGCAAGTGAATAGGGGAAAAGCCTTAGTTGCAAAGCTTCGGCTGGCACACCATTGATTTACAAGCTCCCCGCGAGCTCCGAGAATCTCTGCACGTGCTCTCTTGGTGACTCGCTCTCAAGGCCGTGGAACAAAGCACTGTTCTGTATCATAGTCACTAGTGTTGGCTTGATCTCGAAATTGTTTGCCGCCATGGGAGGGTGTAGGATTCGCGATTCAATGTCCGCCGGCCATACGACCATATAGTACCCCATTGTCCTCTGGGCTTCCTCTTCCTCCGCCGCCTCGTTAAGGTTACGAGCTTGGGCGGCTCCATCTTGTCTTTGCTTCCCCACCATTTCTACTCCAATGTCGGGTGTGCCTTCCACTTCTTCAACTTCTACTCCACTAACACCGTGACCAAATTGTTGTCCCCTTTCTTCACTTCTTCTTCTTCTTGCCTCCGCTAGCTCTCACTCCCTTGCTAGGAGCCGGAGAGTTCGGTTTATGTCCTCGTCAAGTGGTAGAAAAGGTGTCGGATTACTCTGGGTCATGCACCATTTACACACAATCAGAAAACAACACCAAGTCTAGCACAAGCAAAGCACACACACTTTCAAAACTGGAAAATAAAGGCTAGATTAACACCAAACAACTTTTTCAAGATAATAGACCGTTGTTCCCCGGCAACGGCGCCAAAAACTTGACTCGTCTCGAATACCACAATTAATTCCCGCCTAAGGTCCAAGTATAAACCTTAGTCGGGTGCAGTACAGTGCAAGTATGTTTAAATAACGACTCGGCCCGATCCGTGTACCCCTACTTCAGTCATTTGAATCATTATCTAGCGACTCGGTCTTGGTTGAAAAGTTTGCTAATTAAAGTACAGCAAGGTAAAAGTAAATGGTTTTGAAAGCTCTTTTGTGAGAAGGATCACTCGGGTGTCGCTTCCCCGTAACTACTACCATTGTAGGTGAATCGAAATGATTTTTATGGGCAAGGTGACCGCGAACCTCTAGGGGACGCAAATATGGTCGTAGACCACACTCTCGATTGCTAAATTGAGGGATACATTGTAGGTTGTCACTCGGCCCTATTGGTTTAGGCAATCGATGGTTGACTTACTCCATCACTCAACCCAATGAATGGTTGGTCGGCTTAATCGCACTTAACCAAATTGCTTAATCCAACATCAAGGTTTTCCCTAAATTAACCTAGATAGGTGACTTAAAAAGCCCTAGGAATACCAACTAATTGAGCCTCCCTTGAAATGGGGTTTTCCCTCTCTAGTCTAGGTTAAAGTGGCCAATTAGATTGCTAAGCACAAATATGCACAATCAACATGAATAATACCTCAATCATTAAATTAAACAACACCCATAAACAATCATCCAATTCACATAACAAAAACTACATGGTAGATAATTAGGGGTTCACAACACCCAAGTTAAAAGGAAATCTACTCCATGCTAGAAATGGGAGAAACACAAGGGCAAGAGGTAGAAACCATCATGGAGAGGCTTCCAATATTCTTTGCACTTGTGCTGAACTTCTCTTAGGGAGAATCTTCCCAAATCCACTCTTGGAGCAAAACCCTAGCCTCCTTCTCCTTTGGTTCATCTTTCTC